TTTTTTTTTTTTTTTTTTTTTTTTTGAGTATTACAAATTCTCCCCTCCTTAGAAACTTTCGTCCCCAAAAGTTGGTATCTCTTGGAAGAGTTCAGGATAGGCTCTCCTTACATCGTCCTCTTGTTCCCAAGTTGCCTCCTCGTGTCGATGGTTACCCCATGCGACTTTCACCAAGGGGATATCTTTGTTGCGCAGTCGCCTAGTGTCTCGAGCCAAAATTTTGCTAGGTCTTTCCTCGTAGGACAGATCTGTTCGAAGAGGAAGGGTTTCGTGTTCAATCACATGAGTAGGGTCTAGGGTGTACTTTCGCAGCATAGACACGTGGAACACGTTGTGAACGACGGCAAGGTTTGGTGGTAGAGCAATCTTATAAGTCATGGCCCCAACTCTCTAGAATCTCAAAAGAGCCTATAAACCTTGGGCTTAACTTCCCCTTCTTTTCAAACCTCATCACCCCCCTCATAGGAGCTACCTTCAAGAACACATGGTCATCCTTCGCGAACTTGAGGTCCTTTCTATGCAAATCTGCGTAGCTCTTCTGTCGGCTCTGTGCAGTGAGGATTCTTTGCTTAATTTTCTGCATTGCTACAATGGTGACCTGAACCAACTTTGGTCCTAGTAGTTGCTGCGTATCTACTTCTTCCCAAAATACCAGTGTTCGACACCTATGCCCATACAACGCCTCAAAAGGGGTCATCTGGATGGTCGCTTGATAACTATTATTGTAAGCAAACTCTATCAGTGGTAGATGTTCATCCCAGCACCCAGCGAAATCCATGACACAGGCTCGCAACATATCTTCTAAGATTTGGTTCAGTCTTTCAGTTTATCCGTAAGTCTGAGGATGGAATGCTGTACTAAACCTTAGATGAGTCCCCAATGCTTTTTGGAGGCTTTTCCAAAACTGAGAGGTGAACCTAGTATCTCGATCAAATACTATAGACACCGGTATCTCTCTGATATACAGCTGAGCCCACCGATCCACATGATAAGTGGTTTTGCCAGGGATGATGTGAGCCATTTTGGTAAGTCTATCAACAACTATCCAAATTACGTTGAAGCTCTGTTTGGTCTTGGGCAAGCCCGAGATAAAATACATGCAAACTGCTTCCCATTTCCACTGAGGGACCTTTAAAGGTGGTAACAGTCCTGCTGGGCGCTGTCTCAGGGCCTTCACCTACTGACAGGTCAAGCATCGGCTTATAAAATCTGCTATCTCCTCTTTCATCCCTGGCCACTAATAACATCCCTTAAGATCTTGATACATCTTTGTACTTCCAGGGTGGAACGTGTAAGAAGTATCGTGAGCTTCTGTCATAATATCCTTCAAAATTTTCTTATCACGAGGAACACATAGGCGATTTTTCCATAGCAGACCCCCATCTGAAGAGATTGAGTACCCCACTGGTCTATCAGTCTCTGTCTCATTCCACAGTTTCCCAAGGTGTTCATCAAACCTTTGAGCGTCAATAATTCGTTTTCGTAAGGTGGGTTGCATGGTCATTTGTGTTATCTGAGCAGTACCACCTTTGATTACAACATCGATTCCAGCCCTCTTCATCTCATCTTGTATTCTCTCCTGCTTAGTGATCATCGCGGAAGTATGAACCGCCTTTCTGCTCAATGCATCCGCCACGACATTGGCCTTGCCTGGATGATACAAGATCTCGATGTCATAATCCTTTACTAATTCCAACCATCTCCTCTGTTTCATGTTAAGCTCCTTCTGCGTAAATAGGTACTTGAGACTCTTGTGATCAGTGAATACTTAGATTTTCTCTCCATACAGATAATGTCGCCACGTTTTTAGGGCAAACACCACTGCTGCTAACTCGAGATCATGAGTGGAATAATTTCGTTCATAATCCTTCAGTTGTCTAGAAGCGTAAGCTATCATTTTACCCTTCTACATGAGCACGCATCCTAGACCTTTTCCCGATGCGTCGCTGTACACCACTAGATTCCCTGAACCATCTGGAACTGTGAGGACTGGTGCTGTCACCAACCTCTCCTTGAGTTCCTTGAAGCTCTGTTCGCAAGCTGATGTCCACACAAAAGGCTTGCCTTTCTTAGTTAATTGAGTTAGCGCCAAAGATATCTTGGAGAAATCCTCGATGAACCTTCTGTAATAACGAGCTAGTCTTAGAAAACTCCGTACTTTAGTGACTGTGGTCGGTCTTGTCCACTTCATCACTGCCTCTATCTTAGCTGGGTTCACTGTGATTCCTCTACTTGACACCACATGACCCAAAAACGTTACCTCAGACAGCCAAAACTCCCACTTAGAAAACTTGGCGTATAGTCACTATGTTCTCAGTACGGTCAAAACTTGTCTCAAATGCCCTTCGTGCTCTGCTTCTGACTTAGAGTACACCAGAATGTCATCAATAAACAATATAACAAAAGTGTCTAAGAATTCCTTAAACACCCTGTTCATTAGTTCCATGAAGACGGCTGGTGCATTGGTAAGTCCAAAGGACATGACGAGAAATTCATAATGTCCATAGCGACTTCTAAAAGCTGTTTTGGGTATATTTTCTTCTCTTATTCTCAATTGATGATATCCTGACCTCAAGTCAATTTTAGAGAACACCGTTGCTCCCTGCAATTGATCAAACAAGTCGTCGATCCTCGAGAGAGGGTACTTATTCTTTATGGTGACCTTATTCAGTTCTCTATAGTCTATACACAGGCACAGGATCCATCCTTCTTCTTGACAAACAGAACAGGGGCTCCCCAGGGCGACACACTGGGTCATATGAAACTCTTATTCAATAGCTCCTGTAACTGTTCCTTCAATTCCCTGAGTTCTGCAGGTGCCATTCTGTAGGTTGCCTTGGAGATCGGCGCAGTTCCTGGTTCTAGGTCGATCCTGAAGTCAACTTCCCTAACAGGGGGCAAACTTGGCAAATCCTCAGAAAAAATATCAATGAATTCTCTAACAATGTGTACTGACGAGACTGTCTGTTCATTACTGCGGCCAAGGGTCACGCTGACTATAAATGCGCTTGCACCACCGTGAATCATCTTTCTAGCCATTAGAGCAGTTATGACGCTTGGGGTTCTTTTGGAAGTGGCTCCCTTATATGTAAAACTATCCTCTGACGGGAGTCTGAGAGTAACTATTCGAGTTTCACAATTTATTAGAGCGCGATTCTCGCCTAGCCAATCCATCCGCAAAATGACATCAAAGTCTTGCATGCTTAATACTATTAACACAACTTCTATGACACGGCCCGACATTGTCACACTACCTCCCTTGACTCTATGAGTAGCCATTAATATCTCGTGAGCAGGGGTGGATACTGATAGAATGGTCTCTAAAGGTTCTTTTTCTAGGTGCGCTAAGTCAACAAATTTCTCAGACACAAACGAGTGTGTAGAACCTGAATCAAAGAGTACAAAAGTCAAATGACCAAAGACTGGTAATGTACCTGTAACAACTGCGTCAAGTGCGTCGGCCTGCCTGCCTGTGGTTGCATGGGCTACAGCTCGCCCCTGCTGCTGTTGGGCACCTCGGCCCCTTTGATTTTGTATTGCAGGTCGATTAGTATTCTAATCTCTCGTTTAAAGACAATTCGTTGCATAGTGCCTTGTCTGGCCACAACTGAAACATGCATTAGCTCCAGCATGACATTCCCCCTTGTGAGGGTGCTGACACTGAGGGAAATTAGTCCTGTTCTGTGCTGGGGCTCTCCCGCGATTGGCAGCGCCACCACGGGGTGGTCTGCCAATCCTGGGATAGTTCCGATTTATCTATTTTCTCTAGACTGCGATCTAGGATTTTTGGGTTGACTCTGCCTGTAATTTGTCAGTACGAGGCGTATCAATGAGGGTTGCCATCTTGAGAGCTGCTGAATAGTCTGTAGATGCCTGTGATGCCACATAACCTCTAATATTCTCCCTTAGGCCGGCAATAAAATGTTCAGCCATAAGCTCTTCAATACTAATATATATAGGGGAGAATCTAGTCAATCTATTGAATTCTTGATCATAATCCTCCATAGATAGGTCACCCTGTTTGAGTTCATGAAATGCTGCTAGCAACTTCATTCTAGCAGTGACTGGATAGTATTTGCGGAGGTAGGCCTCTTTGAACTGGCACCAAGAAATAGGCTCTCTAGGCGGTGCAATCATTTTTTTAGCACCCTTCCACTATAAATGAGCCTCTCCTTCCAACATATACGTTCCGCAATGAACCTGATATTCCAGCGGACAGTTCAGGTAAAAGAAGGCTTTTTCCATAGCCTCAAGCCAATTTTCTGCTGCAATGGGATCTATTTTGCCACCTTCAA